AAAATTCTAGATGGCAGCATCAGAAAATCGAAAATCAAGTACAGTGTCTTGATTCAGAGATTTTAAATCTGATAAACTGGTGACACATCATTTATTTTCAAGCTTGAAGACTTAGCTTGCGCATATAGGTTTTCTATTATCTACGGTTAAAATGCGTTAAATATAGATAATTAAGCATTTATATTAATCGACTTTTAAAAAGTGAACTGGAGGGATTATCTGCCCAAGCTGATCTAATGAGGGAAGGGCAGCTAATATTGCTGCGTTTGGTCTGGCTCTGTTGGTTTTTCTTATGTTATTGCTGTTAACAAATTTCAAAGTGAATGAAGCTGAAAGTTGGTAAATAGATTATTATCTGAAAGGCAATTTTACTTCACTAGAAATGACTTTATTACGTGGAGAAGAGTAAAAATGTAATTTGGACCCCCATCCAGATGCTCTTAGTCTGGTAGCAGAGAATGGTTTTATTTGTTAATTTGTCCTTTTAGAGTTTCTGTAGCCAGTCTTTAAATAGAGCAATTTAGCATGTTGGGGAAAAACAAACTCTGCACTATCCAAGAATATAATTGAAAATTACCCCATACCCATGCACTATAATTACCTTTCAAAACATTTCCCATTGCTTGACATCATAGTGGTAATTGCTTAATGATATTATAATTTCATTACGTAGGGATTACATGGGCAAAATGATGTAAGTTGGAGGCTTTGAAAATTAAGTTATAATGAAAACAAAACCTTTTATGCAAGTTGAAAGCACTTATTTCCATGTAAAATTATACATAATGTCACCCAATTTTTGTACAGATGTCGTTGTTGGTAGAGTTTTAAAATTCATCCATTTAAAGCTTTCGTACTAAAAACCACAAAACCCGCCTTAGCCCCATGGTTATAATGCATGAGGTTCCAGTTCTGTAGTGATGTGTATTGGAACAAATGCATTTATATAGCAGTTATTGCTTCAGTTTGTATGCACCATGTAGCAAAACCTCTGCTAATGAATTGGATCCACCTCGATCCCTTTGCAGTTGAGTGATAAAGACCCATGACCCATTACAACGGTTATTTTCATCTTGAAAGATTCCTGACTGGTTGTAAAATGTATTGAGTTTTCTAATTTAATAGCACCAGCTTAAAATTTTGTCTTTTTGAAAAATACAGGCACAGAATCACTAAACAATTCCATAGTGTATAGCTCTTATGTGCCAGAGGTCAGAATTGCCCCCAATATGTTGATGGAGTAAAAATAAGACATTGGGTAGCAGATCTCTGAGGTAGCTGGACTCATAATCATTTACCTTAGTGATGAGGTTTTCACATTACACCTGATGGAAAAATTAGTTTTACTTTTTGAAAAATACATGATTTTCAGTATGAGAACTGTTTTTATTTAAAGATGAATTCATCATAATGTCCTGTGTAAAACTAGGTGGGGGCTTTGTGTTTCATTCAAATCCACTATTTATTTTTCTTTTGGTAGGAAAAAATCAAACAGATATAGTTCTGAGGTAGAGAATAAGATATAAATGAACATACCCCTCTCGTGTCTAACTCAGATATCTTATGTTTTTCATGATGATGATTATAACAACTCACTGTGTGTGTGCTGAGTGCTATCTTATTTAGTTCTCATAGGTACTATAACAGGTACTGTTACTATCCTTACTTTACATATGAGGAAACTGAGGCTCAGAATGGTGTGTTTTCCTAAAGTCCCACAGCTGTGAAGTGGTAGAAATGGGATTTGGACCCAAGTCTGTCTGACTCTATTGTCTAAATGTCATGCTGCCTGTCTCTATGAAGCCTTTGCTTCGTACTTTAAGTTTTATCAATGCTCCTGTTCTGAGTTACTAAAAAAGTTATAGCCTGTAGTTCATGATTTGTTTTATTATTGTTATTATCCTTAATAGTAATAGTAACGATCATTTATTGAACAACTACTGTGTGCACTGTGCTGTGCATATTATCCATCCAATTTAGTCTTCCACAAAACCCTATGAAATAGGCTTTGGTATTCCCATTTTATAAATGAGGAAAGGAAGGTCCACTGAGGTGAGATGACCTATAATGGACCTAATGTCATTCAGGAGTAAACAGCGGAGCTCCCATCCACCCCTAAGTTTGTTGGATTCTAGAACCCAGGGGTGCTGTTCGCCACCCTGCAGCTGCAACTCCCAGTTTAACTCCTTGTTAATCTTTAGTAGCTGCTTTTGTTTCGTGTGTCTGTGTAACGTCCACAACCAGACTGTCACATCCACGGCTAGACTGCTCAATCACAGAGCAGGCACACGGTAGTTACCTATTGATAAACTGATTTTGTTCTGTTATCTGAAGAAGCCCAAATATGGAAGGGATGATGGACTGAATATCTGAAAGTAAAGGACATGCACACTTTCCTTTGTGCAGAAGTGACCTAAAGGGGGTCGTCTTTGATATGAAACAGCCACTTGAAAAGCATTCTCAACCTCTCCTACTTAGAGGAAGAGGGTGGAGGCAGGGCCCTGGGGACCACTCTTAAGGTAACAACAGAAAATAAAGGAAAGGCAGCCTGCCTTCTCTGAGTTCCTGTTCTTAATTAGAAACTGTGCAGGGTGTTCAGGTCAGCTACCACTATTAACGTGACCATTAGCAAAGTTCTGTCATACTTCAAGGCCATAAGCCACTACAGCCAAGTCACAGAAACTCCTCAAAGGCACAGCAGGGATCATTGGATCTGGTCCCCTGTCCTACGCAGAGTTCGTCTACAAAATCTCGCACAAATGGTTGCCCCAGTCCCTACTTCACCCTCCACAGAGTCTACATTTCATTTTCTGGTCATTAATGTTTGGAATATTCTCCCTTGTGCTGAATCAAAATCTGGCTCCTTGCAACTTTCACTCAATGATCCTATTGCTTCCTCCTGGAACCCCACAGAATCTTCTGAGCTTCTCACTCGTTTCCCACCCTTCATACACTATATGAAGCCAGAAGGGCTGCTATCACCTCCCTCAAACTATCTCTTTTCTGGAGTTAATCAGCTCAGTTCCTTTGCACTTACTGAGCTGTTTGCCTCTGCCTTCCCGCATGGACTTGCTCATCTTTGCCAGTGGTTTTTGAAATGTGAGAAATCAAATTTCTTTTGTTTCCAAACCTGATTTTTTAAAATGTAGGACACAGTTACAGTTTTTTACTCTTTTCCGTGTTTAAATTCCTTTAATATAATAGTTCCCAACAGAATGTGTTACACCACCTTCTTAACAAAAACATGGAGCAGGTATGGTCAGAAGAACTCTGAGCTGAGTGAGAGTCTAGAAACCCGAGTTCATCCCTGACTCTGCCTCTCACTCACCAGGTGACCTCAGATGAGCTGTTTCACTTTGCAGACCCAGGCTTCCTCGGCCATAAATGAGCATAATTCCTGCCTGTTTCACAGGCTCCTGAGGGTCAAATGAGCTACTGCACGAGAAAGTGCTTTCTAAACCATTGAAGGCTCTCCCAGTTGAGATGTTGGTAAGGAAGGCAAACGTAATCATTCCTCTGTTAAACTCTACTTTTTAAGGACTGCTAGCACTGCATGCAACTCACAAGAGAGTCAACTGATTTCATGTTTCGCCCACGTCACTGCACACTCCTTGAGAACAGGGCCTGTTTCTTATCTCACATCCCCAACACCTGGCTCAGTGCCTATTGCAGGGAAGGACCACGGTAAGTGTTTTTGGATGGTTAGAAGAAGGGTGGGCAGAGGAACGGCTATGGTACGGTTTCAGAGCCCCCCTTCACCATCTTGGCTCCACTTCTCTGGACTTAACTCTAGTTTGTTACTCTCCTGACAGTGTCCGTGCACCAGCTTGGTCTGATTTTGTTTGGGTAAGATGGAGTCCCACCACCAGCACCACCACCTTCCCTCACTCTGGGCAGTGACACTATTTCAGTATTTTTCAGTATTTTTTGAGCCTCTATAACGTGTCAGCCCTGGCCCGTACCCACCATCCATGTCCTTCCAAAACTGACCCTGGTGAGCTCGCAGCCCAAAGGTTTGGTTTTCTTTGGTCCTTAGTCGCCTGTGCTAAGGCAGAGAGAGGAGTGTTAATCACCCCTCCTCCCTGAGCCTGCTCTGATCTTCTCCGGCTCAGGGAGGTCTTGCCCTTCCGGCCTCTGAATTCCTGTTACATGGATTTTCAGAAGTACTCAGTACTTAAAAGGACTTACTGGCTAGTGATGGCGTCAAGTACCCAAGTGCTTAGCACGACACTGGGCACAAATAAGGTACTCAGAAACATCTTAGTAAATCAATTTTTTTCATTCCATGCCGTTTGTTGGAAACCAGCCAAACTTTGCTAATAACTTAGGCAGTAGGAGTTCTCTTCATCCAAACCATCTAAATGGCTGTCACAAGAAAAAAACATTAAGCCATGTTCATGTTCTAGCAAACTTGACAGACCTTCCTACCACTAATAAAATTACAGATCACCTGACATTGTTTTCCATATGTGTTCTATGCTTTGTGTACCTTATATTTCTAAAAAACACTGTTATTTTAATTCATATTTATTTGGTAGCCTTTTTAGGATGTATGCATGGGGATTGAGTTCTTTATTATATCTTTTAATTTGCACCGTTTTGCATTTGTACAGCTCTGGCCCATGAAGAAGTCTAGAACTGTGACCGTTAAGTTTTGAATCCTGCTCAAGTTTCCCTAATCCTAATTAGCATAATTCTTTAGTCCTTTGGCCCTCTCCCTTGCCCCTTTCCCCTCTCTGCCAGTTCTCACACTCCGTTTTTCTTATCCTTTATAGCAAAGCTGGCCCTTGATATCACTGTTTCTTCTCTGTGTTACTCTACACGTGTAGAGTCTCATCACATCCACAGCGCTCCTTCATTCCAGCATCAACGTTCTGCTTGCATAAAGAAAATCACCAAGGAGAGATAGTGATTCCTCCTTGGTTGCCCTTCTGCTGTTGCAGTTTAGGAATCCCAGACGAGGCTGGCAGCTAACATGTCTGTGGTTCCCCTTCCTACAGGTGAAGAAGGCCTGAGTGCAGAAGAGGACGAGGAGGTGCTGACTCTGCTGTATGACCCATGTCTGAACTGTTACTTTGATCCTCAGACTGGGAAATACTACGAATTGGTGTAACCCCTCCTTCCAAGGCAAAGAATGGCCACCCCCATGCAGAGCAGGATAGGACCTCTGACTCTCTTAAGTTGGCATCACAGTGTGTGTGTTGGGCAGGCCCCATGGAATCAAAAGTAACTGAGAGAAATGAATGTTTTTTGTAAATAATGTTCAATTTTAAGAATACCTATGTTCTTTTTGTAAATGTGTGTGATTTTTTTTTGGAACTGTGAAGGAATTAATACAGGGACAAGATTTTAGGACTTTGAATTGGTTCTTATTTGTTGGTTCTCATTCTACATATAATTTTGTTTATTTCATATAATTTTGTGTAAGCAAATTAAGAGTTATTAATTCAAATTTTTGCAGTGTTAATCTGTAAATGATGGCTTGATATACAAAAATGTATTCTTGTTTAAAAGATATCTGGGTACCTTTTATTTTATTACCTATTTGTATTAAAAATAAAGTATGATGGTCAGAAGAATACCTTTTAAACTGCTTCTTTTTATATACCCCATTTTCTTTTCCAGAATGTTCCTAGATGACATTTATCTTTCCTTAGACTTTTAGGAAAAGAAACATTGTGAACTGATCAGACTTTATGATCACATTTTATTGGCACTGGCTCCACTATTTCCATTTCATTATAGTTCATCCAGAGTTTGCCTAAGATCACAACATTGTTAATCACTTAAGTTGCTTAACGCTGTGCTTTGCTTTTTTTTTTTTTTTTTTACCAATTATCTCTGAATTTTAATAATAGGATCCAAATCTAGCTCCATGGATCCAGATTTAACAAGAAGTCACCTATTTGAACACCCCACACACCTCACCATTTCTGTGATGGGCCTGGAGAAATGGAAGAGGCTTCCTTTGGTCTTTAAGTTTATGTCACTGAACCCTGCTTGCTGCATCACAAGAAAAAAACCGTGTGCTTCTTGAATTCAAGTAGACGGCTTTGAATTGTGTGCCAAGTACATTAATGTTGAGCTCAAGGAAGTACTTATTATATTAGCTGGCATATTTTGTTATTTAATAAAGATTTTTTAATAAAGAAGAGTACCGTTGGAAATGAAAAATTATTGGTGTACAGTTGGATTTAATGGCAGTACTATAATTTCATTTAATGTTGCTTGATAGAGGAAATAAGAACTCTTTTTTCAGGAGTTGATTTGGGCTCCCGTTCAAAGGATCATACATTATTTAGAACCATGTTTGTGTTGGATAAGCTTTTAATCCTATTGTTCACAAAGTCTACCTTTCTTATGAAATTTTCTCCAAGATCTTCATACTTACAAAATGTAAATAAATAACTGAGGCTTCAGAAGCATGCAGAATGATAAAATAGTGGAGTTATCTTGATTATGACCTTAAAGATTGGAGTAGGGCTTGGAAAGCCTTGTTCCTGCTTTAGTCAGTCTCAGGACCATCCGCATAAATAGGGGAGTCAATTAAAAGTCTGGACTAGTTAAGACGTGTAGTTACAAATGTCAGAAACATCATGAAGTAAAAATACTTAAGGATCCAAGAATGCCTCTTGAACCCCAAAACAGAATGCTACAAGGCCCCCAAAAGGATTCGAGCTAGGACCTAGAAAACTCCGTTGGGATTCTTGAATTGCAAGCAAAGCAACAGACACCCTTGATCCCAGAATTCAAAGACTTCTTGAACAATCAGACCCCAGAAGGCACAGGAATTGAGGCAACTCCAGGGATCCTATAGCAGGAACTAACAGTTTCTCCCGATGACAGTGTCACCAAAATGACAGTGCCACTTTCTTCTGCCTTGAGTCTCTGCTCAAGGATCAAGAGTCTGGAAAACTTGCATTGTCAGTTGTCCCCAGGACCACATGGAATGTGAATGAGATAGTCCCTGAAGAAGAGGATGCTGTTAGCAAAATGCTAAGGGATGCCAAGCAGGCAAAAGTGACAGATGTCTACCCTGGGAGTCTAGAAGCATAGTCTCTGCCGCTCCCCTCTGGTTCATTTTGCCAATCTTTTCTCTCCTCTTTCTCTCCCCCCATAACTTTCTCAGCTGCTTAGTCCACCTGCCAGAACACTCAGCCATTCCACAGCCCATATATCCAACCACACAGAAATATTAACTCTCAATTGCAATTTTAAAAATCCCAGACTTGGGATTCCAGTTGGCCCAGTTTGGTCCACTGGCCACCAGAACCCTCTACTGTGAATGGGGGGAGGAAGGCAGCTAAGGAGTTTCTTGTGAACCAAGCAGACACTCTAAAAATATCTGCCACAAGGTCTTATTATCCACTTTTTACATTTTATTTGACTTTTTAAAAAGAGTAGTTTCATTTCTGTTGAGATTTCTACAGAAGAGTTGAAAAATAGAAATAGATGTGCTTCACACTGCCAATTTTAAACCGAAATGTACAGCCAGTTTACTTGGAGATTCATTGACTGGGCTATACTGCTTCACAGGTTATCAAATTTGGCTGCGTATTAGAATCTCCTGGATAGTTTATAAAAGTACTGATGCCTAGGTTCCACCCCCAGGGAGTCTGATTTGATTGGCCTCAGGTGCAACCTGGTCGTCGGAAATTTTTAAAACCTCCCCTGGCAAGTCTAATGTGCAGTCATGCTTAAGAACCACTGCTATAGATTAGATCCAACATGATAAGAAGGCAGATTGCACGTGTATCAGTAGGGAAGAGTCTATATTGTTGTTAGTTTCCATTTTCAAGAACTTGATTTCTACTTTTCTAATCAAATGTGTACTGAACATTATATCTGAAACTGGCTACTGCAAATGGATCCTGAAAAAAAGAGCTTGATTCAATATGGAAATACATCTTAAGATAATTTGGTATCAATTTTGGGACTGATTTAGTTTCTTGTTCCATATAATTCGGGATGCAACTTGCAATTGACTTTAAGTCTTCAATCTCTAAATTATTATTTAAGGGCCGGCCCCGTGGCTTAGCGGTTAAGCGCGTGCGCTCCGCTGCTGGTGGCCGGGGTTCGGATCCCGGGCACCAACGGACGCACCGCTTCTCCGGCCATGCTGAGGCTGCGTCCCACATACAGCAACTAGAAGGATGTGCAACTATGACATAACAACTATCTACTGGGGCTTTGGGGAAAAATAAATAAATAAAAATTAAAAAAAATAAAAAATAAAAAATTATTATTTAATTACAGAGCCCGGGAATGGGAATGATAAAAAACAACTGTCAGCTAATACATGACATCAGATCAATGACTTTGCTTCCCTGGCAATTATGAGTTCTCTCGCTAATTAATTTAATTTTATTTTCTATTAAAGGAAAATACTGACATATGCAAAATACATAGACACTTTTGCATAATAATGTGCCCTATTGTATTTCTCCATATTTTTAGATTAGCTTCATTTAAATCAGTCGTTTCAACCACATCTTGATTTTTTTTGAAGTGCAAACTGTGTTTAATAACCAAGAATAGTGTAGTCACAGATTGTACAACCTGAAGGACAATTAATTAAAAGAACTAACTTTAAAGTTGCCCTTTGGCTTTAATTAAAGATCTAGCTGCTGAAAGTTTCTGGACTTTTTTAAAAATGTTTAATGACAGCAAGTACAGTACTAAAACTAGGTTTGTTCCAGATTGCCTCCTGTGACTCTCAATCTTCAATCAAAATGGCCAGAATAATGAGGATTAAAGATACCTATCCACATATGGTTGTATTATACAATTTCTATTTCATACATTGTTCATTTTGTATTCCAGAAAAGTTAGTCATGAAGAGAATTCTTGTCAAGCAAATCCTATTTTCTCTTTTTCTTCCATTATAATAGTTGAGGTAGAATCACCTAATTGGGCCTAGAAAGGACAATTAAGATCATTTCTTTAAACTCCGTAACTCCACACTTCCAACCCAGTTGTTTTCCCACTCTGAGGGAATTAAGATGAGGATTCAAATGGCAGAGTCAGATGGCCATCACAGACTCTGTGCGGTGGTCACCAGAGGAAACTAGTGCCCTGCCAGGAATTTGGGTTCTCTGCTTCCCACTCAGTGTTTCTTCTCTTTTGCTCTGTGCAGATTCTTTCTTCCCTCCATTGTCAGCCTTTACACTTCAAGGATCAGCATTTCCCCAAGTGTGTTTCAAGAAACAAATTCCATTCAGTGTTAATAAATTTAATGGGAGTAGGGAAGAAGCCCATGGTCAAACAATGTTGGAAAATACTGGAGAAGCAGAAATGGTCATCTGTCTTTACTGGAGAAGTTCTCAATGGCTTTAATAGACTAACATGCATAGGGAATGTCTAAGGAGGAGTGGAATACGCAGCACTTCTCAAATTTCTTTGTCCCCAGAATCTTTTTGCAGTAAATCATCTCAAGGGGCTCATTCACCCACAGAACCTCCTTTGAGAAATGCTGCAGTAGATCACTTCTCCAGTGCCTGCGAGCCTTGACTCCACCAGAACTCCCAGAAAGGCGTCTCCCTGGCTTGGTGTGGGTTTTTTGCTTTTCGGTTTTGTTTTGCCCGGATATTTCACAGACTCCTGACCACGTTGCAAGGTTATTCTTCAAACTCACTTTTCGTCTAAAACAAGGTATGTTGAAGCCTGAACTTTCTTTAAGTTAGAGACTTTGGTCACCTAAGATGAAGAAATTTTCTTTCTCTTTTTAAATTATACAAAGTTATAACTGTAGGTAATACAGTTAACTTACGACAAAGGATAAATCTAAGTTAAAGTTCAGTTGTCATGAATATTGGAGCTTTCCATCTTAACGAATATTTTGGTTCTGGGTTGGGTGGCTTTAATATAATTTAGAATCACATTAAGTCAAAATAATTTGACTTATAAGAATTAAATAACCAATAAACATGGGCCACAGATAACACTGATTTTTACTGCTGACATATTCTTCTGTAGTTAATCACCTCTAATCTTGTGAAGCATTACAGAAATGAAGTGTGGGAAATGCTATTGATTGGTTTTCATCAGCCCAACTTATCATTGTCAATGTTTATGCTGAACCTGGCAAGATTTAAGCATATAAACTTGCTCCTAATAATAAGTATCGCCAATATTTTAACCTGTGGATCAGGAGAAATTATCTCTAATTTGCTGTAAAGGATACTTCCAAAGGCTTGGGGAGGGGGTGCCCCTGGGACCTTAATAATGGAGAT